TAACCAGGTATTCCAGACTCACCTTGTTCATTTCTGCTTCAGTCCAAGAAACTACTTCTTTTATCTGTTATCTTACTTAACATCCCTATGTCTCCCCTGCATCCCCACACACACACACAAAATATATATATATATATATATGGACTGAATTACATCTAAGCATTTTCTGTACTTGTCCCAGTGCTGGACCATAAAAGTGGCAATAAATATTTATGGAATTGAACTAAAAGATTAGCATTTGTCTAGCTATTCTACAAGTATCTCTATTCAATCAAACAAGGCACCACTGGCAACATTAAGCACTTGCCTCTTCAGGTGGTCCAAGCAGGGTTCAGGCTCTCCCTATGAATACACTTATATGCTAGAGGTAGACCCCAGCTAATGAGCTCTCCCTAGAACAAATACTCTGTCAGGTACACACACACACACACACACACACACCTTTTTTTATACTGAGACGATGAGCTTATTTTCTCAAAGGAGGAAATCATTATAGAATAAAGCCAGAGTAATGGCCAGTATCTGCTTAATTTAACAAGATGACAAACTCATGTAAAGATGTCTGATCCTCTAGAGAGGAAACTGTCATTCCTTAGCTGCAGTCCCCAATCCAACTGAAGGATTACATTTCACCACTAGGTGTCCACAGAGGAACAAAGAGATACCTTACACTTGCCCATTCCAACTCCCTTTCACACACACTACACTCCATAAACAACTTGTCCTATGTCAATTTATTAAAAACCTTCAATCTTGTTTTACTACAGCTTAGGTCTTCATTTACTTTAACTTATGAGATATCCTGGCTGGGCGCAGTGGCTCACACCTGTAATCCCAGTACTTTGGGAGGCCGAGGCAGGCGGATCACAAAGTCAGGAGTTTGAGACCAGCCTGGCCAATATGGTGAAACCCCATCTCTACTAGAAAAAAAAATACTAAAATTAGCTGGGCATGGTAGTGGACACCTGTAGTCCCAGCTGCTCAGGAGGCTGAGGCAGAAGAATCATTTGAACCCAGAAGGTGCAGGTTGCAGTGAGCTGAGATTGCGCCACTGTACTCCAGCCTGGGCAACAGCAAGACTCCTTCTCAAATAAAAATTTTTAAAAAATTTACATACAACTCTCTCATAGGGGCAGGGTAAGCAAACATAATTGGTAAGATACCTAGGAAAAAGTCATTCATTCTAATATAGTTAATGAGAAAAACCACATTTCATTTCTCTACACTGTCAACACAGAACACTTCTGTGATCAGATGTGTGGGTTTATTCCACACCAAGCAATTCTCCAACTCTGAACACCAGCCTGGTGTCCTACAATTCAATTCAATTCTGACATTACCTACCTGGAGTTGGCTTCAGATCCCACAAATTGAGGGCTCAGTCTCAAGGCTGCCCTCATTTCAGATGCCAGTCCCAAGTTCCTCCAGGTTGTGACCTGATTTCTAACCAACTGGCTAAAAATCAGGGTACCAATGACCCCACTCCCCATCAGGCTTGATAATCTGCTAGGACAGCTTACAGAATTCAGGGAAAAAGACTTTGTTTACCCATTCATTATGAAAGATATGACAAAGGAAGCACAAATGATCAGCAAGATAAAGAGGTACATAGCGTGAGATCCAGGAGGGTTCTGAGCCCAGGGGCTTCTGTTCCTGTGGAGTTGTGATGTGCCAACCTCCCATCATATAGATGCATACGCCAACCTAGAAGCTCATCAAATCTTGTTCAAGTTTTTAGAGAGCTTAATATAGCTTAATCTCCAGCCTCCACCCATTCTCTCCAGTGGTCAGTGGGTGGGGCTGAAAGCTCCAACTCTGTAATCATTTCATATTTCTGATGACCAGATCCACCATAAGCCACTGCATTAGCATAAACCCAGGTGTGATCAAAAGAGGTTCATTATGAATACAAAAGACACTCCTATCATTTAGGAAATTGCAAGGGAACCAGGGGCAAAGAGCAAATACATTTCAATTTATACCACATTTAGGACATATAATACCCAATATTTTAAACTCCAATTCTGAAAAGCTACAAACTTCTAACAATTATTAACAATTCTAACAGCACTTAAGTAGACAGAGGAAGAGATCCCACACTCCCATTGTACTGGCTTCCTCTTTCCACCAGGAGAAACAAATCCCTAGGAATTGTACTTTGGATCTGCTCCATCTTTGGTCTCTCAACTTTTGTTTTCTGCTAGAGAACAACTGAGTCATGTTACAGGTTCTCAATAGATGAGTACGGAAAATAGTGGAAGAGGAAAGAACAAATTAGAAAAAACTAAAAAAGTAAGGGAACATTAAAAGGGAACTAATATATGACATATGCATACTAGAAAGGGTACTAGGTGCTTTATGTAAATTATTTAATCCATCAACAGTCCCATAAAATGGGTAGTATCCCATTTTACAGGCAAAAAAAATTCTGAAAGATTTAAGGAATAACTTTCCCAAGTTAAGGAGCGGAGTCAGGGTTCAAACCTAAGGCTACTAACTCAACAGAACTTTCGGGCCGGGCACACTGGCTCACGCCTGTAATCCCAGCACTTTGGGAGGCCAAGGCAGGGGGATCATGAGGTCAGGAGTTCGAGACCAGCCTGACCAACATGGTGAAACCCCGTCTCTACTAAAAATACAGTTAGCCAGGCATGGTGGCACATGCCTGTAATCCCAGCTAATCGGCTGGCTGAGGCAGGAGAATCACTTGCACCCTGGAGGCAGAGGCTGCAGTGAGCCGAGATCGCATCACTGCACTCCAGTCTGGGCAATAGAACAAGATACCATCTCAAACAAACAAACAAACAAACAAAAAAGAACAGGAAAGGGAGTGGGGCAATCTAATATAGAAAGGAGGAACTAGGACAAGAGGAATGACATAAGGAAAACCTTGGACACAGCTGATTCCTAGTCAGTAAGTAGTGTTTATGACTTAAGAAGACCCCTCCGTTCACTACTAAACACAGTGAATGACACACACAGCAGGAGCACAATATTATATAACAAGTGAACATATGACAAAAACTACAAAATGGAACCCAAAGAAGAGGTTCCAACCCGAGATTCAATTCCTGGGGGACAGAAGTATGTATGACTATGTCCCCACTCTATGAAAATATAGGTAATGGGGTCACTATAATAGATTGGACACCAAACATGGAGTTGGGCAGCCATAAACTAGCTGTGGAACTGAGCAAGTCTCTTTCACTTTTCTTTGCCTCAGTTTACCCATGTATGACATGGAGGTCATACCACCATCTTCAAAGTGTGGACATAGTTTATAAAACATGCAAGAAGTATTCAAAGACCATACAAATGAAAGTGCATGATTGATATCACTACTTACATGTCTCATAAGCAATCTCAAACTTAACAGGCCCAAGATGAAATTCTCAATCATCTCCCAGCACCTGCTCCTCACCTTTCCCACCTCAGTAAATGTCACCACTTCAGTACTCTGGAAACCATTCTTGGTTTTCCTCATCCAATCTATCAGCCAGTCCTAATTACACTTATTTATTTTTCCCTTGAGACAAGATCTCGCTCTGACGCCCAGGCTGGAGTGCAGTGGCGAGATCTCAGCTCACCGCAGGCTCGAATTCCTGGGCTCAAGGGTTCCTCCCACCTCAGCCTCCCAAGCAGCTGGGACTACTGGTGCGGGCCACCACACCCGGCTTTTTGTACTTTTTGTAGAGATGGAATCTTGCCATGTTGCCCACGCTGCTCTCAAACTCCTGGGCTCAAGCGATCCTCCCCGCTTGGCCTCCCAAAGGGCCAGGATTACAGCTGTGGGCCACTGCACCAGGCCCTCCATTCACTTCTATCTGCACTGTCACCAACCTAGTGTAAGCGAAAATCAACTCTCACATGCTAATGAAGCAGCCAAAATAGTCTCTGGGCTTCTCTTGTGCTCTCTCCAGTCCAAACCATCGCTCTAAACACTTTACCCACTGTTCTTGAAAGAAGCCAAACTTCTGAATCTGGCTTAAAAGGCCCTACATGGTCTTTTCCCCTGCTGCTCCCTCAAACCACTCACCCCGTCCCTGACCTTGTGCCACCACACTGTACTCCTCAACTGTGTTCTGCTTCCCCTTGACAAACTCTTACTCATCATTTGGCTCCCATTTCAGAGTTGGGTCCCCGCCACACACTCTCAGAGCACCGTTAAGTACTTAAGCATTTGTATAATTATTTTATTATACAAAAGTATAAAATCACAAACGGTGAGAAACCCAATCGACTATAAGCTCCACGAGGGTAAGTACTGTCATCTGGTTCACCTCCGTATCAGGAAAACAGGGTCCAGCACACGGTCTGCGCTCAATATTTGAACCCAAACGAGGCAAGGGGAGACAAGGTAGCCACCTAAAAATCCTAACTCAAAAAGACAATGTTCTAACCGTATGTTCATGCCCATTTTGTTTCAACACACTCTCCACCTCCATTCTCAACGGCTCAGGCCAAACCACCCATGGAGATACCTCAGGTCTCCAAGCTCAGGCAGCCCCCGCTATCTTCTACCCCATAAAGTTCTAAGTCCAAAGGGAGACCGTGTCCTAGCTCTGGGGCGAGAGAAAAGAGGCCTCATTCGCCCCTGCGGGTGAGGGTCCCGGACCGCCAGGAGGCACGCTCCTCATCCAGACCTACTGGACAGGACTCCTCCACACCATTCCGCGCAGCCGTGACGCACGGACACCGCAACACTACGTCAGCTAAGAAGCCGCCGCGCGAGAGGCGCTTCTTCGCGGGTTCTCGTGCACCGTTCAAAACGCGCGTCGGGCCCGAGTGCCTAGCTTTGCGTCGCAGAGCGTCAGATGTCCACCCTATTCATGGAGGAGGGACGGAAAAGACGACGACCCCAGTCTTCTCTCTTTAAGAACCACCCCCATTCGAGCCTGACGGGCTCTGAGTAAACTCGCGAGAGCCACCGGCTTCCGCCCGCTTCCTCCTCTGACTTGCCAGGCCGGAAAAAGGGTGGTACCTCCCGCCCCCAGCCTTACCTCACAAGGCAGCGCGGACCCAGCTGAGGCCAATCGGCAGGTTCATTGTAGGCTGCGGAGCAGAGAGCCAATGAGAAGTCGCGGCGGACGCAGAACTTCTCCTCACTCGCACTGGCCCCCTCCCTTCCGCCCGCCGCCTTCCACTCCGCCCCTGGCGGAGGAAGTGATGTCACAGGCCCCATGTGAGCGGATTGCAACACATGCAGCTGCCTGGAGAGAGGGAGCCGGTGTCCTACGTCAGAGCCGCCGCCGCCGCGGAGCCGCCGCCGGGGAGGAGCAGCCGCTGCCGCCCAGGACTGGGCCCTTAGGTGAGACACGGGGAGAGAAATGCCGGCGACCTCTGCGGCGAGTTGCGCCGGGCCGGGAGGAGAGGGCCTCTGGGGGTGGCGAGGAAGGGGGCCGCTCTGCCCCAGCGGCGGCGCTAACTCTGTGGTCTTGGTGTCTCCGGGCCCCGCCGGGCCGCTCTAGGGAGGAGGAGGCGAGAAGATGGCGGACGACCCCAGTGCTGCCGACAGGAACGTGGAGATCTGGAAGATCAAGAAGCTCATTAAGAGCTTGGAGGCGGCCCGCGGGTGAGCGCCGCGTCCGGCACCCCCCGTGCCCTCTTGGTTCCCGGACCCCTCAGGATGGACGCCCCCGCGCCGCATGGCCGGATGAAGAGAACCAGGCACTAGCCAACTCCCGCCTTCTGGATCTCTGGGTAGTTGCCCCTGACCCAGGGGCGAGGGTCGGCGCGGCTGGCCCGAGAAGGGGTCCTTCCCCCGCATGGGGGTAAGGGGCCCGCGCTCCCGGGGTTTAGATCACTCGGCCTCCCTCGTGGTAGGCCACCGCTACTTTTGCACCCCTCCCTGGCCCTTAGGTCCAGCTCCTCTCTTCGGGTCCCAGGTGCTGCCACCCGTCTCGGGCGCTGTTGTAGCAGAGTGCTTGGCCTTCCTTTCCCAGCGCCCTTCCCTGATTTCCTCTTCTCCTTTCACGTTCCTCAGCCAGGCCTCATTAAAATGGCCTCCCCCTCTTGGGCTTCTGTGACCCGGGTGGGTGAAGTTTGGATGGGACGGGACGCAGAGGTGGCCAGGGATAGCTTCTTTCTGACTCCTGATTTCTCTGGGTCTTCCACCTGTCCCAAGATGACTTCGCCCAAGTCCTCTAATTACCCCGCAGCTTCCTGGTTTTAGCTGTTCCAGGACCCAGCTATAAACTGAAAATGCTAACGTATGCGCTATGTGAGGGGTGCTGGGTAGGTTTTGGTTGATGAATCTGCGTGAGTATGTCCAGGAGAAATACGGATTAGAGGGCCGTTTGATATGAATCATAACTACAGAGTCCTTGCTGTCATTTCTCTGAAACTTGTGGGCATATCGCTGTAGAGGTGCCTGATGAACTTAATGCTTGTTGAGTGAGATTCAGAATTGAATTAAATGGGCTTTGAGTCTTGTACGTTTTGGTAGGCTAGATTAAATTAGCTCTGTGTGCTTTTTTAAAAAAAATGTTCCTTCGAGGAAGGTATGCCAGAGTTATTCCTGTTTCCTTAGTTTATCACTTTATTTTTTTCCTTTCCCACTCATGGAAACTTTGTTTACAGGAAATGGCCCCCCCCAAAAAAAGTGTTTGGAACATTATTACATACTTGTATGTCTGAGCATTCTTAGAATAGCAGAATGGGCTGCCTCAGGCAATGTGAAAAGTTGATTTCAGCACAAGAATTTGACATTCTGGTTTCCAGCCCAGGACTGTCATTTATGGGTAGAGTTGCAGTTTTAGAATGACAGCTCCTCCAAACTCTTCATTATGGCTGTTTTATGAAAAAGGATGTGCGTAATTGTACTGAAGGCCGAGTTCACAGGTTGGTTTTGCTAGTGTTTTGTTCTTAATAAATTGGGGACAGTTCTATTTGGAATGAGACTTCTAAAAGTTTGGCCCCATTCCGTGACTTGGGCTTGTGCTCACTCTGGTTTACTGGAGAAACATTTAATATGAGTTGAAGGTAGTAGCGTATTTTTTAGTCCTATTTTTATTTAGGTTTTTCTTTGAATTTAATAGAATATTCAGACCTTCTTAATAATCTTACAGGAACTTGTGCCATATGGTAGGGTGAATAGTTATTCCCAAAATGTGAGAATATTGTACAGAAAGGGTAATATCGGTCACGACCCGTTATGTTGCACTACGAGGAATCAGCCAGGTTCTTTTGTTTCAGTAGGCTCTTCTGTGTTACTTGAACAATCCAGTATTGCATTTTATAGATCGCTGTTATTGCAGTATTAAGGGTGGATGTGACCTGTGGATTTGTTCTTACTACTTTCATTAGCAGGCAGGTTCACACGTTTTAATTTGCATACCTTATGTTCTCTGAAACAGTCCAAAAAAATTTAATTCATAACTATAATTTGCCTGTTTGAAGTAACATTGAAGATAACATTGCTTAATAAGTAACAGCATTATTTTCTACTGCTTGATGAAGGAAACTCATTCTTAAATTTGTTCTACCCATGTTACCTAGCCACTAGAAACTTTTAAGCCCCTCTTTAAAGGGTTTGAAGGCTTTATCTCTTTGTTTAGCAAAGTTCAATAAAGTTTAAAGCATGCTAAAAATGAAGTTATTAGGTATAGCTTGTCTTCCAAGTTGTTGAGTTTGGATATTTTAGACATGATTAAGCTGTCTAAAATAGTTAGAGGATCTTCCTCTAAACATTGTGGTTAATAATCATGTCCTGCTTTGCTTTTAATCAGGATTTGGTTGCATCTTGATCCCATGGAAATTTAAAATCTTGGCCATCTCTGGGTATTGGTAAAGGAGTCAGAAGATTCCCTGTTACATACCAGTTTTTGGAGAGGGGTATAGTTTCATTGCCAACTTGTGTTAGAGTCAGACTCTAGGTTTTCATAGATAATGTACAGTGGAAAATGTTCTTCCTATTTTACCTAGGGCTAAAATATTTTTAGGAGAATTGTAATGGGCTTTAAAGACAAACTGGATGACAAAATGAATCTGTATTTGCTGGTGTTTTGGAGATACTCTGGTTTTCAGGAGGAAACAGGTTGTTTTCAGGCATTGGTTATTGGCACAAGATAGACTTAGTGGTGAAGTAACAGAATTGTTTTGGAAATGAAAAAGTCATCTCCTCTTAGTAGTGTAGAATTCTAGGCATAGGAATCAAGGATTGGTTTTTAACAGTAGTTATTAAAATTTGCTAGAGCAAGAGTAATTTTGAAATTAAGATAATCCTATTTGATTATCTCTTGCAATGTGACCCAAATTTAATGTAGCTTGAAAAAGGAACCACCTGCAAAATGGGCTCACTAACTAATTACATATGAATAAAGAGGAGGGAAGTATGTTGGCAAAATAATTTGCTAAGCACATACTATATTACAGGCTGCGCTACATACAGTACATTATTAAGTCATTTAATCTTCACAACAATTATTGCCACCATTTGGTATACAAGACACCTGAGGCTAAAAGATAATTTGTCCGAGATGTCACAGCAAAAATGTAGCAGAGTTCAGAACTTAAATCAATGTGCTCTACTGGGTATATTTTATTTTCAGAAAATACAAAACTAGACTTCCTTAAAATGTAGACTGAGCTATAACAGACTCTACTTTATGTTACATGTGTGGAAGAGCACTGATAGAGGCCAAATTACTAAAATGGGAAACTGAGAGCATTCTGTTTTGTAACCAGCATCATACTTAATCTTCTGAGTTGAAAGGAGTGTCACACATATAACTTGGGTTTTAATTTGAGTAGAACATGCTTATTCGGTTTCAGGTAAGCCTGGTCGCATGTTAGTTTGTGTGTGCTAGTCAAATAACCAGCTAATTCTTTGGGTAGACATAGGCCCCACTTAAAGTTGGTAGTAGTTCTTCTCTGTTCATGACTGCTCCTGGTATAATCTCCACAGTTGGCCTATGAGGACAAATGTATACATAAACCAAAACTGGTTGAGAGTATCTTGAATAAAGAGCTAAAACAGGCGAACGTATGTTAGAAAAAAGGGGAGAATTGTTGCTTGTTTTTTTCTCTTGGTAGTTTCTGTGCAGGCAAGAGGTGGCCTCAGAAATAGTGTTGGACACTTATAGTTTTCAGGTAATATTAATAAAATCATAACTAGAGCCTGTTCTAGCCAGGGACAGTGGTGAATGTGATCAAGGAATGGACAGTGTTAATTTGGGTTGTGTCTGTGGGTGTTAAAATATCTTTTCACTTATCTTCACCAGGAAACCTTATGTGTTTCATATCTAATGAACACTTGGTTAGATTATCTTCTAGCCATAACTCTTATTTGAAGGTCAGTGTAGCTTGCAAACTTCTGCTCTAGTGTTTAGGCGTTTTAAAAACTTTTTACTTGAAAAGAACTTGTTGATATCTTAACTGAATGAAATAACATTAGTTGTTCCTGCCCCCAATACAACCATTTTTAAAGAATCCCCACTGAATTACATATAATTAAAAGTTAATATTTTGGCAAGATCATTGAATAGGTTAATATTCTAAATCTTAGAGATAATTAATATGAACAGATTTCTTAATTTATATACTTTGAATAAATTAAGGTATGTTAGATGTGTTTGAGTACCTTCCCCAAGTAAACATTGTTGGTTAATAGAATATTCACCTAAGTGATGATGGAAAGAATGTTTTCAAAGCACTGAATTTCACATTCTTTTTTTTCCACCCGCAGTATCCTTGAAGAGCTGGTTGTAGCTAAAGTGATGCTTTGTGGTCTTTGATACAAACACCTGAACCACTTAAAGTTCAGGCTCTTAAAGAGAACTTTTTTCGTCCTCTATTCTGGCTTTTTCCATGCCCCTCTCCAAACCCCACAAACTCTTGATGGTTAGATGGGTTAAAAGACCACATTAGAACAGGGCATGTTGACTCACGTCTGTAATCCCAGCGCTTGGAAGGCTGAGGTGGGCAGATCACTCGAAGTCAGGAGTTCGAGACCAGCCTGGCCAACATGGTGAAACCCTGCCTCTACTAAAAATACCAAAAATTTTCCAGGTGTGGTGGCATGCACCTGTAATCCCAGCTACTCGGGAGGCTGAGGCAGGAGGAACAGTTGAACCTTGCAGGTGGAGGTTGCAGTGAGCCAAGATTGTGCCGCTGCACTCCAGCCTGCGTGACAGTGAGACTGTGTCTCAAAAATAATAAAAAATAAAGACCACAGGAGAAAAA